ATATTTAGTAACAGGTAGACAACAGTTGATTTCTCATTTAAAGTAGTTGAGATGTGTAAAGTCAGTGAGGTGAAGGTTCTGGCTGACATGGAGACCTCACACACATTATTTAAGAACCAAAATACCTGAACGTAAAGGAGTACTGTATGAAGTCAGGGAGTTATTCAGTGTCAAAGCTCTGCTTGTTCCTCATTTTATTTACTGTATTAAAGTCTGAGGTAAAGCTTGTGAAACTGTTACTAATCCAGTTTTTGTTTTGCAGAATAGAGCTGTAAGAATTATCGTGAGAAAAGATTACAACCATCCATCTAATACAATATTTTGTAAACTGAAAATTTTGAAATTCTATGATTTGATTGTTTATAATTTTACAGTTTCAGTACAAGTCTCACAGAAACATATTACCTTCCAACGTTCAGGTAAACTTTGTTAACAGAGAGTTATTCTTTAAGGATGTTCTCATGTAGTATTGGTTTGTAAATTATGTTTTGTTTGAATATAATCTGGGGATAAAAGGGCAGACATTATAAGATTTATTCTTCTTCTGCTAACTTTCATTTGATTTTGATTTGTGTATTTTCTTTGTTTTTTACTGTATATAATGATTTTTTAATGAAATGAACATTTTTAAACTGAATTGAATTGAACTGAATTGAATTGAACTTAATTGAATTGAACTGAACTGAATTGAATTGAATTGAATTGAATTGAACTGAATTGAATTGAATTGAACTGAATGGTTACCTGTGAACTGATGGTTTGGTCAGGTGACCTGACATCACCTGGCTGCAGGAAGTGGGTCAGAAACATTCTGATGATCCTGAAGGAACCAGCAGAAACATCAACAAGGTTCTGCTGAAGAATTACTTATWATACTCTATTTATTTATACAAATACACAGTATTTGTATAAATATATACAGTATATTATGTACGTTTTTATTTGTACAAATACAGTGTATTTATATAAATACATTATGTACTGTGTACATCTGTACAAATACAGTGTATATGAATAAATATATGATGTACCCTGAGGGACAGTGGACATGTTTGTTCCTCTGGTTTTGGACCAAACTTGGTGTTTTAGTGTTTCTGCAGGAACAGAACTGTTCTAACAGAACTGTTCTAACAGAACTGTTCTAACAGAACTGTTCTAACAGAACTGTTCTAACAGAACTGATCTAACAGAACTGTTCTAACAGAACTGTTCTAACAGAACTGATCTAACAGAACTGATCTAACAGAACTGTTCTAACAGAACTGATCTAACAGAACTGATCTAACAGAACT